TTAATATAGGATTAATCTTATGAGTATAAAAATTGAAAATTTGTAAAAAAAATTGAAATTGTAAATCTTAAGAGTGGGAATAAGAGAGGAAGGAGGAAAAGAGGTGGGAACATGGGCAGGAAAGAGAGTAGGTTGGGAAGTATCACTATGTTTTTTTTAACTTTTATTTAATAAATATAAATTTTCAAAGTACAGCTTTTGGATTACAGTGGATTTTTCCCTCCATAAACTCCCTTCCACCCGCAACCATCCCATGTACCATTCCCTCTCCCATCCGATTCACATCAAGATTCATTTTCAATTATCTTTATATACAGAAGATCAATTTAGTATATACTAAGTAAAGATTTCAACAGTTTGTGCCCACACAGAAACATAAAGTATAAAGTACTGAATCAAAAAGGGAGAGAACGTTCCATCAAGGGAAGCGGGAAACACAGCAGACTCATAGAATGGCCGATGTCCTAAATAGCACTCTGGCCTCAGAATCAGCCCTTAAGGCATTCGGATCTGGCTGAACAGCCCATGAGAGTATTATAGGAATGGAAAGCCTATAAATAAAGTTATACCGTTAATTCACATCATACAACACGTTAAGGGTGGAGATCCTACATGGGGAGCAAGTGCACAGTGGCTCCTGTTGTTGATTTAGCAATTGACACTCTTGTTTATGGCGTCAGTAATCACCCAAGGCTCTTGTCATGAGCTGCTGAGGCTATGGAAGCCTTTTGAGTTTGCCAACTCTGATCTTACTTAGACAAGGCCATAGTCAAAGTGGAAGTTCTCTCCTCCCTTCAGAGAAAGGTACCTCCTTCTTTGATGGCCTGTTCTTTCTACTGGGATCTCACTCGCAGAGATCTTTCATTTAGGTCATTTTTTTGCCACAATGTCTTGGCTTTCCATGACAGCGAAACTCTCCTGGGCTTTTTAGCCAGATCCAAATACCTTAAGGGCTGATTCTGAGGCCAGAGTGCTATTTAGGACATCTGCCATTCTATGAGTCTGCTGTGTATCCTGCTTCCCATGTTGGATTGTTCTCTCCTTTTTAATTATATCAGTTAGTATTAGTAGACACTAGTCTTGTTTATGTGATCCCTTTGACTCTTAATCCTATCATTATGATCAATTATGAACTGAAACTGATCACTTTGACTAGTGAGATGGCATTGGTACATGCCACCTTGATGGGATTGAATTGGAATCCCCTGGCACGTTTCTAGCTCTACTGTTCGTGCCAAGTCCAATTGAGCTTGTACTGAACTGTACATCTCCTCCCTTTCTTATTCCCACTCTTATATTTAACAGGGATCATTTGTCAGTTAAATTTAAACACATAAGAATAATTTTGTGTTAATTAAAATGTTCAACCAATATTATTAAGTAGAACAAAAAATACTAAAAGGGATAAAGTATTAACTTTTCCTCAACAGTCAGGACCAGGGCTGATCAATTCATTGTTTCTCATAGTGTTCATTTCACTTCAACAGATTTCCTTTTTGGTGCTCGGTTAGTTGTCACCGATTATGTTCTTTTTTTGTAAAGTGTTTATATGAACTATTTGTAATCTGTTCTCTTTTTTTTTTAAAGATTTTATTTCTTTTTTTATTTGAGAGGTAGAGTTACAGACAGTGAAAGGGAGAGACAGAGAGAAAGGACTTCCTTCCACTGGTTCATTCCTCAAATGACCACAATGGCAGAGCTGTGCTGATACGAAGCCAGGAGCCAGGACCTTCTTCCATGCGCGTGCAGGGGCCAAAGGAGTTGGGCCATCTTCCAATGCTTTCCCTGGCCATAGCAGAGAGCTAGATTGTAAGAGGAGCATCTGGGACTACAACAGGCACCCATATGGGATGTCTATGCCACAGAGGGTTAACATACTGTGCCGTGGCTCTGCCCCACACTATGTTCTTAAAACTGTTTATATGAAATCCATAGAATTTTCATATCTTAAATAAAATTTTTAAAAATAAAAAATTGGAAAAAAATAGAGAAAGCATGAAACAGCCATGGTATATCTGGATTGAGTTTAGCTCCCAGTTTTGGCCTGGGCCAGCCCCAGCCATTATGGGTATTTGAGGAGTGAACTAGCTGATGACACAGCTGTCTGTCTCTAAGACTTTCAATTAAATATTTTTAAAAATCTCTTCTGCAAAATTTCTATTCACTTCTTTTGCCCATATTTTAATTATATTATTTATTTTATAAAAATGTTGATTTATAACAGATTCTTATATAATTTAGTATTAACCCCTTAAAGTACCAATGGTTGCAAATATTTTTTTCTCAATCTGTAAGTTGCTTTTTCACTCTGTTGAATGTTTCCTTTGCTCTACAGAAGCTTTTTAATTTGAGTACTCACACTTAGTTTTGCTTTTTTCCCTATACTTTTGAAATTTTATTCAAAAAACTCATTTCCCATTCCATTGTTTTAAAACATTTTCTTTAGTTTTTTTCTAGTAGTTTAATAATTTTAGGTTTTACTTTAATTCTTTAATCCATTTTGGAATGATTTGTGTCTATTGTGAGACATAGGAGTCCAGGTTCATTCGCCTGCATGAGGATATTCAGTTTTCCCACCATGACTTATTGATGAGACCACTGCTTCCTTAATGTATACTCTTAGAATCTCTGACAAGATCAGCTGGCAAAAGATATATGTGTTTATTTCTACGTTTTCTACTACGTTCCATGAATTAATGTCTCTTTCTCTGCCAACATGACACTTTTCAATACCTTGCAATGTATTTTTTTTTTTTTTTGACAGGCAGAGTGGACAGTGAGAGAGAGACAGAGAGAGAGGTCTTCCTTTGCCATTGGTTCACCCTCCAATGGCCGCCGCGGCCAGCACGCTGCAGCCGGCGCACCGCGCTGATCAGATGGCAGGAGCCAGGTACTTATCCTGGTCTCCCATGGGGTGCAGGGCCCAAGGACTTGGGCCATCCTCCACTGCACTCCCTGGCCACAGCAGAGAGCTGGCCTGGAAGAGGGGCAACCAGGACAGAATCCGGCACCCCAACTGGGACTAGAACCCGGTGTGCCGGCGCCACAAGGCGGAGGATTAGCCTAGTGAGTTGCGGCGCCGGCCATCAATACCTTGCAATGTATTTTGAAGTCATGCATTATAATGCTTCCTGCTTTGCTCTGGTTTGCTCAAGGTTGCTTTGGGTACTCAGGTTGTTGTTTCTGAGTGTGTGTGCACATGTGCATGTTGGGGGGGAGTTTACATGTAATTTGCTTTGTCTAGTTATCTGAACATGTCCAGTATTTGCATAGGGAATGCTTTGGATCATGCCATCACTTGGGGCACAACACTGAATCCTCCAATCTATTGACAGAAAATGTCTTCCCATTTTTTGTGTTCTTTTTAATTTCTTTAATCAGTATTTCATAGGCTTTTTCATTTCTTATTTTTAATTTGTGATTAGTTTTAACAGATTCAATAGACTTTGTAGATACATTTCTAAGAACATAATGATATTCCCTTCCTCCCTCCATCCCCTACTCTTTTTCCCTTCCATCTCCTCCTTTCTTTTCCCTTTCCTTCATTCTTTTTTAGTATTTCAGAAAACATTTTAAATTTACACTACAGTATAAAGGCTTAATACTTCACCAAATAAAATTTTAACAAATAAAAAGCAAAAACACCCTAGTTCAGTAGGAATATTGAAAATGATCATAAATAATTGAAGGTAAAATGATCATCTTACTAATGTACAGTAAATTTTGAAGTAATAACAGATCATCAAAACTATAGTAGAGGCCGGCGCTGCAGCTCACTAGGCTAATCCTCTGCCTTGCGGCACTGGCACACCGGGGTTCTAGTCCCAGTCGGGGCGCCGGATTCTGTCCCGGTTGCCCCTCTTCCAGGCCAGCTCTCTACTGTGGCCAGGGAGTGCAGTGGAGGATGGCCCAAGTGCTTGGGCCCTGCACCCCATGGGGGACCAGGATAAGTACCTGGCTCCTGCCATCAGATCAGCACGGTGCGCCGGCTGCAGCGTGCTGGCCGCGGCGGCCATTGGAGGGTGAACCAACGGCAAAAAGGAAGACCTTTCTCTCTGTCTCTCTCTCTCACTGTCCACTCTGCCTGTCAAAAAAAAAAAAAACTATAGTAGAATAAGAGTTTGAAGAGCCACTATGCCCCAGTGATGCTACAGATTATTTATTTATTTAAAATTGTTTATCAATTTAAAGAGAACAGATCTTATGCACTCCATAGATATAGTTCAATGTTTCACAGCTTTCAATGCAGAAATCTTTAAACTCCTTGGTAAAATTTATCCCTAGGTATTCTTTATAGCCATAATGTATGAAATTATTTTCTAAGTTTATTTTTCAGATAATTCACTATTGATATATAGAAATCCTACCAATTTTATGTTGATTTTATATCTTCGAACTTCATTCAATTTGTGTGTTATTTATAATTGTTTTTTTGAGGAAGTTGTTGGGTTTTCTACACATAAGATAAAGTTTTCTGCAAACAGGGACAATTTGATTTTCTCTTTTGTAATTTAGAAATTTGTTTCTTTTTCTTCCCAGAGTAGTTAGTACTTCTAGTATTATAATTAAGAAACATGGTGAATGTTGACATTCTTGGAAATTTATATTTATTAAATAAAAGTTGAAAAAAAAAAGAAATCAGAATGCTCTTTTCAGATACGCCTTTCTTTTTGAGGTTTTCTTGCCTGCAAAAATTGTATTCCCTCTGTCAGAAAGTCCTGCAGTGCGGGGATTGGTCTAAACCAAGAATGTTACCAAGTCCCACTTACTGCAATGTAAGCCTGGTCTCCAAACTAACTTGTATCAAGTAATAAAGCTGGAATTGTAACTTCCATCTGGCTCCAACTGCTTATCTCTGTTGCTTCAAAACACAGACTAGGAAGAAAGGAGTATAACTTTTTTGAAAACTCTCTTTAAATAACTACCTATTATTGACAACTGTGCTTCTCAGAAATTTCCCTAACCATCATCTGAAAGAAGGAAGAGCTACGGGATGTCACCTGTCTTCCAAGGTGGTATCACTGCTCATGGTCTCTTGCACTGGATCCAGAGCCATAAAGGTGGGCATTCCATCAGTGCCACTGAGGGGGATGTAGTCTTTGCCATCCTGCATGAGAAAAGAGACATGTAAAACATTCACAGGTTGTAAAATATGCTAACAAATTTGTGAGTCCCCTCCCTGATTACATTTAGCTATGGGGCAGGTGCTGTGGTGCAGAAGGTTAAGTCACTGCCCATGTTTCCAGATGAGGATGTTGAGCTCCAAAAGAGGTGGGAAAGTAAACTGCTCAGAATCCCACAAGTACCAAGCTTAAAAGTTTTGAAATACTCTAACAACTTTGCCTTAGCTAAAAAGCTCTAAAAGCTACCTCCTGCCTCAAAGAGACTAATGTACACCTAGTGCTATAAAGCAACTTGTAAGTACTTGAATGGATAAATTAATTCAAATTCTTTGAGGTAGATGCCTGTTGTAAGAAGTCATAATAAAAAAAATTGATAATTCCTTTGAAACACTACTTAACTTACTTTTATTTGAGAACCAGTAGAAAATTTAAAGTCAGTCAATGGCAGAAGATCAAATCCTTTCCTCATAAAGTTTCAGCAACATAATTTGTTGAGAAGTAGCAACAGGATTGTGGTAGAGAGGAGCTAAAACACTGTACCTGATTCAATTTGAGTTACCTAAGACCTGAGTGTTGCCTTTTATTGGCTTTGGAATATAATTAAAAAGTAAACTTGAGGGTTGTGTATTTGGTTTAGTAGTTAAGATGACTAAGCATTTTATTCTGTTTAATAATACTGTATATGAGATTTTCTCCTTAATTTATTTTTAAGATTATTCATTTTTACTGTGGAAACAAAACCGATTTTTATGTTGTTTTATGTATTTACTTACTTAAAATGTTGGGTTAATATGAAATATCTGTATTATTTCAACAGAAACACACAGCATAAGTCAATTACACCAGGTTATTAGACCTTTTATTTCCCTTATTATAGACAATAGTTAGCCTGCTGTGAAGTGAAACACCAGAGCTCATTACTGTCACCCAACTGTATTTGGCACCTATTATCAGATCTCCTCCTATATTCGAGCCTATAGTAATCAGTATTTAAGATTCATACCAAATATAGACAAATAGATACACAGATAACACAGATATAATTTTTAACTTCCACATATGAGACAAAAACATGTGGTGTTATAACTTAGCTAAATTTATTTGTTAGTTCGACGAGTTCCTTATTGCTGAATTCTAAGTATCTTTAGGTAATATGTCACCCATGAACAAAAAATAATTTTACTTTTTACTTTCTAATTTGGATTTCTTTTATTTCTTTTTCTTGACTAAACGTTCTGTAAAACTTCCAATACCAGGGTTGTACATAAATGATGAATGAAGATATAATTTTTTTCTTTTTCTTCCTTTTCAACTTTTATTTAATAAATAAACTGTAGTGGCAGACAGCCTCATACCAAAATTGACTGTAGATAAGTGAAAAGTAGGAAACATGCCTAATAAATGCAGTGATTTGCTTACACTTTTTTCAAAGAAAATATTAAAGATGCCACCAGATTTCTTCTTGCTACTTCTAGTAAAATTAAGAGGATGAGACATATATTTGAAGAAAGAATTAATTATTAAATAAAATCTAAGACTCTTTTTTAAAAGATTTACTTATTTATTCAAAATGCAGAGTAATGAAGAGATACAGTTGGGGGCTTAAGAGCTTCCACCTGCTGGTTCACTCCCCAAATAGCCACAAATGGCCAGAGCTGGGCCAATCTGAAGCAAGGAACCAAGGGCTTCCTCCAGGCCTCCAATATGAGTGCAGAGGCCCAAACACTTGGACCATCTTCCACTGCTTTCCCAGGCACATTAACAGGGAGCTGGATCAGAACTAGAGCAGCTGGGATTTGAACGGGTACTTAAATGGACGCCAGCATCACAGGCAGCAGCTTTACATAGTAGACCACAATACGAACCCCAGTTGAAAACTCTATAATCTTCTCTGATAACAAAATGCGTTGAAATAATGATGTAATTTCTAAGCAAAGATGATATTCAGGACATCATCAAGAAGACATGGTTTGAAGACGAAGTTAAGGAAGACAACAAATACCAACACCAGAGCTTCTAGAAAGTTTAAAGACATTTCACTCAGTTTTCTTATCAAGAGATTAAATTATAGGATAGTATGTCCAATAAAAGACTTGTGAGTGTGCCTTTTGTAAAATGGAATGAATTTCACTGATACTCTCAGGAATCACACAAAGTTTTTGGGTGAATTTTATGAGTAGAATTACTACCAAGTCGGACTTAAAGAGACAGGGACAGTATAAAATGAAAAGAAGACTTAACGCTCCCCAATTTTTACTGGCAGGAAGCAGGCTGAAAAAAACTTCTCAGCTACAAACATGTTCTACCTTTTATCATAAAAGAGATGGAAAAAAAAATTAAGAATACTGAAAATGTTCACACTTTCTTTCACTTATGCAGAGTTTATCTCCTGCTAATTTCTCCAGACTTTTTGCACACCTTCTTCCTGGCACTAATATTCTACTGTAAGACTTGGCTTTCTTATTTGACTCCCTTACTAGATTTTTGTATTAATATAGATAAGGAGTTCATTTTTTTATCTTGATATCCCCATTGCCCAATGCAGTATCTGGAACAGATCAGATGCTCACATATTTTCATGAAGGATTGCCAATGTCCTTAATCACATGCAGCTTCTGCAGGTGTTATTTTCTTTGTACTGTCTTCTATTTTGCTTATCCCATCACATTATAATTCTTTATCTTACTCTCCTACTGAGTAGTTATTTTTAGTTTCCTGAGGACTTAACGTAGGTATGGTCCATCTTTGTAGTGCTCAGATCTCTGAAAACTATCTTTTAGGGACAATAGTAAAAAGACATTGAATGAGCAAATGAAGGAAGCAATGCATACCTGCTGAACATTTGCCTGTAGGAGATCTCCAAGACGCCCAACCAGGTCTGAGAAGTTGGGTCTTAGGGTGCACACACTGTGCCAGCAGTCAAGCATAGTCTGGTAGCTGCAGGTTGGGAAAAAAAAAACATGCTAGTCTCCATTCCCTATTCCCACTGCTTCTCTAACTTTTATTATGGATTACACCTGGGGTAATTTTCACAATTTCACATAGAATTCTTTGCTATGGCATTGAAGTAAGGTTTCTGAAAATCCTGTCTGGTCCCTATCTGTTCATTAACCCTATGTACCCATATTTTCCACTTATTTCAGCTCTAGATGTACGAATATATGTGTATAATCACCCATATTTAGTCTACTCTTAACTCCAGATATTTAGAAAACATTAACTTAAGGAGAGAAAAATACCATTTGGGTCTGTCACCTAACTCTGGACTAGTATAAGAGGGATGTGAATGATGAGACTTCTACATTTGTGTTGAGGCTCCTGGCTTTTAGTAATCTTGGATTTCTGACTCTCAGAATCATTAAGGTCACAGAGTTGTAATTTGGTCTTCAAATATCATGATACATCCTTGGGAAATAGTGTAAAACACCATAATTTTTAGATTTTTAGTGCCTACACTGGAATCCCAGCCTGTTCTTTTCCAATGATTTTGACAAATAAGCCACCAATTAAACAGTGAGTTCAGCTTCATGCTGAAATTGCTGTTCAATAAACTGACTGAAAGTCTTGTATTTATCTATATATCACTATGGGATTATGGATTTTCCTATCTACTTTTACCACCAATTGAAGTCACATGTATTTATTTAGCAAACCAGTGAGAGACCTCAAGGAATTGGCTCCAGTTTGGTATAAAGTGGGTGGCCACACTTTATGACAAAAGCTCAATGGAGACTGTTCTGGGAACTCTTATTTCTGGGTTGTAAGTTTTACTCATTAGCTTGAAACATATATGTACAAAAATCTAAGGATTTTAAAGGACCTAGCCAGTGCCATGGTTACATAGAATATATTTTATAACATGGATTTCATCAAAATATCACTATATACACCTTCACATGAAATTTTGCTCTCCAGTTTCATAAACCATCTTTATATTGTGACTATTACTATAAATTTACAAGGACAGAAAAAAAGCTCAGCTTTCAAAGAGATCCTTTCATGTGTTATAGATAATCCATGATATTTACTTTGACACTTTTATCTAAAATTAGTTTAATTTGGTGACTCTTAATCTGAAGGAGAACTAACATTTCAGGGGTGGAATATTCAGGAGATCTCATTCGTGTTCCCTCTTTAAGCCGACGGCAGAAGTCTTCATCTATTTGTACTCCTGGGTATGGCGAGGCACCTGGTATAGAAGAAAAGACACACATCTCATTCATGTCCATGGAATAAACAACCCATAAGAATGGTTCCATGCTCTTAATTATTAAGTTTATCTATAGTTCGGTGATTTTGCTGAGATGTTACCTATATTTCAATATAATATAATATGGGAAGAGCATCAAACTGTTGTTTGATGTGTCTGAAGGCTCTTATCATATCACCTTTTTAACTTATTACATGATTCTGTTCTAAGGTCTTAAGAACAACCTGTCACTGATTAGACAAATATGGGCTGTGAGTGAATTTTAAGTTGAGAAATGAAAAACAATTTAAAAATCTTTTATAGGTGATAATTAAGTAAAAGTACATCTCTCAAGTCTGAATCCTAGTTTAAAAGAGATAAAGAGATTACAAAAGTATGCACACCTATGACAACACACAGATAAGTGAGATTCTCAACATCATCACTTTCATCTGATTGTTCACATTCAGTAAATTTGGAAAATCTAGAAGACATTTTCTAAGTCGTTGATATTAAAGATGGTCTCAATATTGCTGCAATTTCTGTTTTTTAAGAGTTCTGTCATAATAGCAGCTGTAATTAAAAGTGGAGATGGGTGGCCAGAAACAGACACACTTACCCAGAGAGAATATTTCCCAAAGCAAGACTCCAAAGGACCACACATCACTCTGGGTGGTATAAACTTTGTCAAAAATGGCTTCTGGTGCCATCCACTTAAGTGGGAGTCTTGCCTAGAAAACCAAGATAGGATAGAACCATGAGAATAGAGACCATAACCTCAACAGAACCAAAGATCTTGAGCTTGGTGCTTTGTGTCAAGGAACCTTGAACTTACATCTCCTTTCCAGACATAGTCAGGGTCTTTGTAGATGTCTCTAGCCAAACCGAAATCACAGATCTTCACAACATTGTTATCAGCTAGAAGGATGTTCCGAGCAGCCAAGTCTCGATGAATGCACTAAAGCAAAGGGAGAAAGTTGGCTCTGCAATTGTTCAAGTTAACAGATTCTCTGCTGTGAGAGAGACTTAACAATGAGTGTGGAGGTGAAAAGCAATGAGAGCAAACAAGGAAAGCGTTTTAGAGTTGCCTAGTCTCTGATAAAAGTTTTAACCTAATATTTATGAAGATACAGATGAATTGCTCCATTTTGAAATTTGCCTAGGTAGACAGAATCACTGGGGTTATAGCTGTCATTTAGCTGCAAGTAGCATGTTTTTCCCCTTGCACACTAAGTAACTATATTACCCTAGATCTAACCCCTCTCTTGTATTCCACTGCTAGTGTCCTGAGGTACAAAGATTATTTTCTCTCATCTGGGCAAATGCAATGGTTTCTTAACCACTCTCCCTGCTTCTACTCCAGGCCCATGGATTAGTCTATGTTCTACTCTGGCTATCAAAATTCAATTCCTAAAGCATCAATTTTAAGCAGGTGAAATTCCTAATTAAAAATTTTATTTTGTGAAAATTAGAAATCAGTTTCTTGGCTTGTCATTCAAAGCCTTCCACAATTGGTGTCAAGTTCTTTCTTTAACTATATCTATTCTCACTCATCATCATGCATTTATATTCTAAATTTTTCATGTCTTCATAATACTATTTAACTATAACTTCTTCTGAGAAATCTTCACAGATTTTCCATTTCTCCTTTTCTATAAGTCATAAAGCAATTATTTCATACTTCTACCATAGGATCTAGCATATTTTGTTATATGTAGTATTTATCTTCCTCCCTGGATTCTGAGGAAAGAGTACTTTTATCTTTCATACATGTAACTCCAGGTATTAGCAAAATGTACATTATACAGAAATTTCTGTTAAATTAATTTTATCCCAATATACAATAGCATACACAAGACACTGATTAAATCTATATATTTCAGCCATCTACTGTATTTGAGCTTGATAAGCAAGTCTATAACAACTGCAAGTAGGCAGATGAATAGCTATCTCTAAGTTTAGTGTGTGTAAATTTTTCAAAGAGCAAATATAAAGAGGGAGAGTAATAAGTATGAGAGTGGATTATAGGAAAAAAATTATCTACCATTATCTACCATGGAGAATGGTGTCATGGAAATTCACTTTCTGTGCCCCCTCCCCCAGGTAATAAGGATGAAACAAAATGAGTAGATGCTCACTTTTCTGGAAGCAAGGAACTCCATGCCCTTTGCTACTTGGAAGCTATAGCAGATCAGGTCCTCCAAGGTGAGGGGGTGCTTGTAGAGATCATCCAAGTCTAGAGAAGAGTAGAAACAGCTATGGAAGGCCAGTAGTTGAAAAAAATACCCCACAAGTCTAAAGAGGTAGTGGTAAAGAGATCTGAAGAGAAATGGTTTCTCTTCAGATTGCGGCAAAGGTTTTTGACAACAGAACTCGATGTGCTTTACTGAACTAAGACACTATGTTTTTAAGTGATGAGTATATATCGTTGTGAATCAAAATAATCTACAAGGTTGTCTCTAGGGATTCCACAGCTCATATCTTAACTGTTATTTGTTCATCATGTATTTTCTTCCAGAAAAGAATACATGGTTTGTCCAGATTTCCTTGCCTCTTCTGCGTGTAGGAGGGAATACAGAAGATGATTTTTGGATGTCAAAGTTTGAAATTTTGTCCATTATTCATGGTGACTACAAGTCTGAATTACACCCAAAATGTCTGGTCATCATGTATTTGCTCTACTCATTACTAGATTGCTTTCCCTTTAATTTCTTTCCATCAATGTAAGGTCCACAGAAATTCCTTCTGCATTTTACAACTTTATGCCATAATGACAGTAGGATTAGGTCTTTTAAAAATTCTTTTTTATACACTTTTATTTTTTATTTATTTTTATTTTAAAGTTTTTATTTAATGAATCCAATTTTCATAGGTACAATTTTAGGAATATAGTGGTTTTCCTCCTGATACCCACACTCCCACTCCCACTTCCGGCCCACCACCTATTTCCTCTCCCATCCCATTCTTCATTAAGATTCATTTTAATTAACTTTATATAGAGAGGACCAACTCTATACTAAGTAAAGATTTCAACAGTTTGTACACATACACACATAACATAAAAAATACTGTTTGAGAACAAGTTTTGCAGTTAATTCTCATAATACAACTCATAAGGACAGAAGTCCTATTGAGAAGTAAGCACACAGTGACTTCTGTTGTTAATTTACCAATTAATGCTTTTATTTATGATGTCAGTGATAACATGAGGCTCTTAACATGAGCTGCAAATGCTATGGAAGCATTTTATGACTACGAAGTCCATCAGAATTTAGACAAGAGCATAAGCAAAGTGAAGTTCTTTCCTCCCTTCAGAGAAAAGTACATCCTTCTTTGATGGGCACTTCTTTCAACTGGGGTCTCATTCACAGAGATCCTTCATGTAGGATATTTTTTGCCACACTGTCTTGGCTTTCCATGCCTGAATTGCTCTTGTGGGCTTTTCAACCACATCCAAATACTTTAGGGCCTGATTCTGAGGTCACAGTATTACTTAAAGTGATTGCCATTCTATGAGTCTACTGTGTGGACTGCTTCCCATGCTGGACATTCTGTCCTTTTTAATTCTATTATTATTAACAGGCACTTGATACTATTTATATGGTCTCTTTAACACATAATCCTATCTATATGTTCACTTTTACACTTAATATGATCACTTCAACAATTAAGATGGCATTTTACAGTTTTACAGATAAAAACTTCCTCACCCCTATCTTATTCCCACATCTTTTTTACTGATATTAATTTTCATTTAACTTACATACATATATTTAATACATACATATATATAATTAACTCTGTTTAGTAAAGAGTTCAACATTTAGTATGAAGAAGAGAAAATAAAAAATGGAAAATAAAAAATACAAAAATTAAAATAAAAATAAAAAACAGTTCCTTGACAGTCAAGGTGAGGGTTTGGGCTGGTACTGTGGCACACTAGGTTAATCCTCAGCTGGTTCTAGTCCCAGCTGCCCTTCTTCCAATCCAGCTCTCTGCTATGCCCTGGGAAAGCAATAGAGGATGGCCCAAGTACTTGGGGTCCTGCACCCACGTGGGAGACTGGGAAGAGGCACCAGGTTCCTGGCTTCCATCAGCACAGCTCCGGCCATTGTGGCCATCTGCAGAGTGAACCAACGGAAGGAAGATATTTCTATCTGTCTCTCCCTCTCACTGTTTGCAACAACAGCTCTCAAAAAATAAATACAATATTTTTTCAACTTTTATTTAATAAATATAAATTCCGAAAGTAGAACTTTTCAATTATAGCAGCTTTTCTCCCCAAAACCTCACTCCCACCCGCAACCATCCCAACTCCCATTACATCTCCCATCCCATTCTTCATCAAGATTCATTTTTACTTATTTTTATATACAGAAGATCAACTTAGTATATACTAAGTAAAGATTTCAACAGACTGCATCCACACAGACACACAAAGTATAGAGTAATGTTTGAGTAGCAGTTTTAATGTTAATTCACATAGTACAACACATTAAGGACAGAGATCCTACATGGGGAGAGGGTGCATAGTGAACCCCACTGCTAATTTAAAAATTAACATTCTTGTTTATGACGTCAGTAATCACCCAAAGCTCATGTCATGAGCTGCCAAGGCTATGGAAGCCATTGAGTGTGCTAACTCTGATCTTACTTAGACAAGGCCATAGTCAAAGTGCAAGTTCTCTCCTCCCTTCAGAGAAAGGAACCTCCTTCTTTCCTGAGATCTTACTCACAGAGATCTTTCTTTTTTTGCCACAGTGTCTTGGCTTTCCATGCCTGCGAAACACTCATGGGCTTTTTAGCCAGACCTGAATGCATTAAGGGCTGATTATGAGGCCAGAGTGCTGTTTAGGGCATTTGCCATCTATGAGTCTGCTGTGTATCCTGCTTCCCATGTAGGATCGTCCTCTCCTTTTTGATTATATCAATTATTATTTGCAGACACTGGTCTTATTTATGTAATCCCTTTGACACTTAATCCTATCTTTTTGATAAATTATGAAAATAAGCTGATCACTTAAACAATTAAGATGGCATTTGGTACATGCCATCCTATTGGGCTTAAATTGGAATCCCCTGGAATGTATGTATGCTAGCAAACAGGGAAATCTTTCAGAAATGGATAGATTCCTGGACACATGCAACCTACCTAAATTGAACCATGAAGACACAGAAAACCTAAACAGATCCATAACTGAGTCAGAGATTGAATCAGTAATAAAGGCCCTCCCAACAAAGAAAATCCCAGGACCAAATGGATTCACTGCTGAATTCTACCAGACATTTAAAGAAGAAGTAACTCCAATTCTTCTCAAACTATTTAGAAAAATCAAAAAAGAGGGAATCCTCTCACCACTGCTATTCAATATAGTTCTCGAAGTTTTAGCCAGAGCTATTAGGCAAGAAAATGAAATTAAAGGGATACAAATCGGGAAGGAAGAACTCAAACGATCCCTCTTTGCAGATGATATGATTCTTTACTTCGGGGATCCAAAGAACTCTACTAAGAGACTATTGGAACTCATAGAAGAGTTTGCCATAGTGGAAGGATATAAAATCAATGCACAAAAATCAACAGCCTTTGTATACACAAACAATGCCATGGCTGAGAAAGAACTTCTAAGATCAATCCCATTCACAATAGCTACAAAAACAATCAAATACCTTGGACTAAACTTAACCAACGACGTTAAAGATCTCTATGATGAAAATTACAAAACCTTAAAGAAACAAATAGAAGAGGATACCAAAAAAATGGAAAAATCTCCCATGCTCATGGATTGGAAGAATCAAGATCATCATAATGTCCATTCTCCCAAAAGCAATTTACAGATTCAATGCAATACCAATCAAAATACCGAAGCCATTCTACTCAGATCTAGAAAAAATGATGCTGAAATTCATATGGAGAAACAGGAGACCTCGAATAGCTAAAGCAATCTAGTTCAACAAAAACAAAGCCGGAGGCATCACAATACCAGATTTCAGGACATACTACAGGGCAGTTGTTATCAAAACAGCATGGTACTGGTATAGAAACAGATGGATAGACCAATGGAACAGAATTGAAACACCAGAAATCAATCCAAACATCTACAGCCAACTTATTTTTGATCAAGGATCCAAAACCAATCCCTGGAGAAAGGACAGTCTATTCAATAAATGGTGCTGGGAAAACTGGAATCATGAAGCAAGACCCCTACCTTTCACCTTACACAAAAATTCACTCAACGTGGATTAAAGGCTTAAATATATGACCCGACACCATCAAATTACTAGAGAACACTGGAAAAACCATGCAAGATATAGGTACCGGCAAAGACTTCTTGGAAAATACCCCAGAAGCACAGGCAGTCAAAGCCAAAATTAACATTTGGGATTGCATCAAATTGAGAAGTTTCTGTACTTCAAAAGAAACAGTCAGGAAAGTGAAGAGGCAACCAACAGAACGGGAAAAAAAATACTCACAAACTATACAACAGATAAAGGGTTGATAACGAGAATCTACAAAGAGATCAAGAAACTCCACAACATCAAAACAAACAACCCACTTAAGAGATGGGCCAAGGACCTCAATAGACATTTTTCAGAAGAGGAAATTCAAATGGTCAACAGGCACATGAAAAAATGTTCAAGATCACTAGCAATCAGGGAAACACAAATCAAAACCACAATGAGGTTTCACCTCACCCCCGTTAGAATGGCTCACATTCAGAAATCTACCAACAATAGATGCTGTAGAGGATGTGGGGAAAAAGGGACACTAACCCACTGTTGGTGGGAATGCAAACTGGTTAAGCCACTATGGAAGTCAGTCTGGAGATGCCTCAGAAACCTGAATATAACCCTACCATTCACCCCAGCCATCCCACTCCTTGGAATTTACCCAAAGGAAATTAAATTGGCAAATAAACAAGCGGTCTGCACCCTAATGTTTATTGCAGCTCAATTCACAATAGCTAAGACCTGGAACCAACCCAAATGCCCATCACCAGTAGACTGGATAAAGAAATTATGGGACATGTACTCTATAGAATACTATACAGCAGTCAAAAGCAATGAAACCCAGTCATTTGTAACAAGATGGAGGAATTTGGAAAACATCATGCTGAGTGAATTAAGCCAGTCCCAAAGGGACAAATATCATATGTTCTGCCTGATCTGCGACAACTAACTGAGCACCAAAGGGGAAGCTTGTAGGATCTCTGTCCTTAATGTGCTGTACATTGTGATTTAATGCTATAACTAGTACTCAAACAATATTTTTCACTTTGTGTTTCTATGTGGGTGCAAACTGATGTAGTCTTTACTTAATATATGCTAAACTGATCTTCTGTATATAAAGAGAATTGAAAATGAATCTTGATGTAAATGGAAGGGGAGAGGGAGAGGGAAGGGGGAATTTTGCAGGTGGGAGCGAAGTTATGATAGGGGGAAGCCATTGTAATCCATCAGCTGTACTTTGGAAATTTATATTCATTAAATAAATGTTAAAAAAAAGAAATTATGTAATATGTACTCCATAGAATACCATACAGCAGTAAAAATAAAGATGAAATACGGTCATTTGAAACAAAATGGAGGAATGGAAAACATCATGCTGATTGAAATAAGCCAGTCCCAAAGAGATAAATATCATATGTTCTCCCTGATTGGCGACAACTAACTGATCACTTAAAAGGAAAACTGTTGAAGTGAAATGGACACTATGAGAAACAATGACTTGATCAGCCCTTGTCTTGACTGTCGAGGAACAACTTACTATTTTATTCCTTTTAGTATTTTTTGTTCTACTTAAAAATTGTAATACAATATATTCCATAACTGTAAAATTATGGAAACTGAAGCATAGAGTTATGACCAGCTCAGAGTCACACAGCAGATCCAGTAACAATAAACAGATCTACTTAGACCAGTACCATGTCTCTCATCCCTTTAATCCAGAAAAAAAAAAACCATGAAGGTATATTTGTGGCAGAATGGGTAACAAGATGAACAATGAAGAAACAGGAGGATGGCCAACTGTGGAAGAACATGAACACAAGTCAATGTCTTAGCAGGCAGAAACCTCAGAGAGAACAGAACATGTGCCATTCAAGGTCAGTGCCTGTATCTGTCAGTTCAGACTTGGAAGTATAGGAAAGAATGGATAGAGGTAGAAGGTCTGGTTTTAACTTTTATTTCTCTTCTTAATTAGCTGAATTGAATAATCAAATATTCAGGCCAATGTTGAATTGGTACATACTGCTACAATTATGTTAACCATTTATGTTTAAAATAGTTATATATTGCTTAGGAAAATAGTTATTATCCTACACTCCCCAAGTGCCCCCACCATTCCATTTACTCTATCATACAAACGTGATCCAGCAACTGAAAGGTTTGCCTCAGCCAAGGAATATATCAGGCATCTATTTAAACTGGTTAATATCAGTGCCAGTATTTTAAAAATACCTTAGTATCTGTTAAATATGTATTAAGTATTTTCCATATAAACACATTATTTTAGCAAAATATTTATTTATTTCAAAGGCAGAATTTTTTTTCTTTTTTTAATTTTTATTTAGCAAACATAAATTTCCAAAGTACAGCTTATGGATTACAATGGCTTTTACCCCCCATAACTTCCCTCCCACCCGCAACCCTCCCATCTCCAACTCCCTCTCCCCTTCCATTCATATCAAGATACATTTTCAATTCTCTTTATATACAGAAGATCCATTTAGTATAAATTAAGTAAAGATTTCATCAGTTTGCACCCACACAGAAACACAAAGTGTAAAATAGTGTTTCAATACTAGTTATAGCATTACTTCACATTGGACAACACATTAAAGACAGAGATCCTACATGAGGAGTAAGTGCACAGTGACTCCTGTTGTTGACTTAACAAATTGACACTCTTGTTTATGGCATCAGTAATCACCCTAGGCTCTTGTCATGAGCTGCTGAGGCTATGGAAGCCTTTTGAGTTCACCGACTCTGATCATATTTGGACAAGGCTATGGTCAAAGTGGAAGTTCTCTCCTCCCTTCAGAGAAAGGTACCTCCTTCTTTGATGGCCCCATTCTTTCCACTGGGATCTCACTCGCGGAGATCTTTCATTGAGGCCTTTTTTTTCCAGAGTGTCTTGGCTTTCCATGCCTATAATACTCTCATGGGCTCTTCAGCCAGATCCGAATGCCTTAAGGGCTGATTCTGAGGCCAGAGTGCTGTTTAGGACATCTTCCATTCTATGAGTCTGCTATGTATCTCGCTTCCCATGTTGGATCATTCTCTCCCTTTTTTATTCTATCGGTTAGTATTAGCAGACACTAGTCTTGTTTATGTGATCCCTTTGACTCTTAGACCTATCATTATGATCAATTGTGAACAGAAATTGATCACTTAGACTAGTCAAATGGCATTGGTACATGCCATCTTGATGGGACTAAATTGGAATCCCCTGGCATTTTTCTGACTCTACCATTTGGGGCAAGTCAGCTTGAGAATGCCCCAAATTGTACATCTTCTCTCTCTCTTATTCCAATTTTTATATCTAACAGCGATCACTTTTCACACAAACACACACACACACACACACACACACTGAGAGAGAGAGAGTAAGAGAGAGTGAGAGAGAATCTTCCACCCATTGGTTCATTCCCCAAATAACTGCAACAACCATGACTTGGTCAGGTTGAAGCCAGGAACATGCAACTCCATCCAGGTCTCTCACATGGGTGACAGGCACCCAAGTACATGGGACATCTTCCGCTGCTTTCCAAGGCTTATTAGCAGGTAGCTGAACCTAAACTTGAGCAGCTGGCACTCAATGTGGGTTGCTGGTGTCACAAGTAGCAGTTCGACTCACTACTCCACAGTGTCTTCCTGAATACTATTAATGTATTGGTTCCCATTTGTTAAGATTTTAAATATATGCAAAATAATTTGAATACAATACAATGTATGTTAATTGTTTATATTATCCCCATTCTTAGTCTTAATTTTCTCCATTATAAAAATGCTGATGAACATCCCTAATCATCTCATGATAAGTCAGAGGAAGGAATTCATGGAAGGGTACTTTGGAAATTGTAAAGCTCTAGACCAGTGTGGAATATCATCCATATAAACTACCTTTGATTACTAATGTAAGTGTAAACTGAGCATGGAGCCAAGTCCTAAATGTTGGGTAGCAATAGCTATGGGGAAAGATACATGATATCCTGGAAGGCCTCGCTCAACCCAGGCACAGACTTGCTAGTACTGGCCTCATTATCCCAACCCAATCACTTAGTAGCTTTGACTTTTGGCCATGCAAACAGGGCCTACTTATACATACCTACTCTTCCTAGAAGGCGGCGGTTGCTTTCTTCCTCCTCATCGGAATCACTGTAGCTCTTGTCTTCAATGAAGCCAGAGCTGGTGGAACTTTCCGTGCTAGCCACACTCTGCAGACGGTGCTTAGACAGCTGGGAGAGTTCACTGTCAGAATCATGAATGGTCTTCATCTTCTTTTCTATATTGAGCTGAGTCTGAGAGTACAAATATATCCTCAGATTTGGAGGAACCCTTAAGATTTTCCATCCTATCCAACTCCATATTTTCATTTTGGAATTTGAGGCCCAGGGAGATGTATGTGTCACATATTTTGTGAGAAATCTGAGTGATAGCTACCAATCTAGAACTCCCTTCCTTATACCATAATGTCAACTGATTCATTCCTGGTGACTGTAAAAATACCAAGACCTGACCATTGTAGAAAGTCACCTTGTCCCATAATTCAGCAGGTCTTCCTACAGTCAGGCATGTGGTATCCCAAAGACTATCAAATTGCCATATTCATGAACTTTATACTACTCAAAAATGGAACAGAGATCATAAGATAGAGACACCTTCTGTTGTAAAAGTATCATTAACACCTTTTGTTTTGCTAAAATTAGGGTTAAGAAGAACTTGTGGCTGAAAATAATGAATTTTTAGCTAAGTTCAGAGCTTCAAGTCAAACAATGAGATACTAGAAATTATTTTCCTAATTCATGACTCAGTAGTGTCAGATAATTTTCAAAATAAAGCAAAACCCTGATGCAATGTTTTCCACTAATTTAAAAAGTAGAGAAAAATTACTTTCCTCCAGGAAGATAAGGACAGTGGCGGCATTTTCATTCCATCCAAAAGCCTTAACTGAGATCTCCAGATGAAAACAGAGGGCTAAAGCTCATGGCTGTGGAAGACTAAGGGCATGATGACATCTTGGGCTAGCTAGCCACTCTAGATATCAGAGCTTAAACTAAGGATTACACAAAACAAAATTAGCATTTAAGTAAATGTCAGAATGCTGAGTCATACTTCAGTGAAACTTCAGGATTGAATATGACTTTAGAGTTCATAGATTTCAAATCACTATTGCATACATAAATGCACAGTCTACTACCTCTAACCAGTAGTTTTATAGCCTATAATTCCCCCCAACCTTCTCTCTGTTTACCGTTAGAAAATATAAAAAAGATCAAAACTTGGGTTCGGGTTTGGGTTTCAGTTGAGAGAACCTACCTTGGAAGCAACAAAGTCTCCTCTCTTCCCTCTCAGAAAATTGGCCAGGTTTCCATATCTGCAGAATTCTACAATGACCATCAAAGGACCTTCCAAAAGTAATTCCAACAGTCATGTTTTAGTGAATAATGGTTAAGGGTAGCCAACTCTTGGTCTCCCCTTGTCCTGGTAACCTGTTGACCAGGGAACTCCCAAAATCTCACAAATCATCTCTAGTTGTAAATCCAATGATTAATTTCTTGGGCTGATACAGTAGTGATAGATCCCAGAAACAACTGGCTGGGTGGTGAGGGAGGAGAAGGAAGATGGCAAATGTGGAAAACAAGGTTAATAAACCTACGGAGTTTACCTGTGGTGGTCCCTGAGGTGTATAATATAGAAGATACAAGAGTCAGAAACACAGAGCACCTGACCAGAAGCAGCTAACAGTTCAATGATGAAGGCAAAGGGGTGCCCAACTAGCTGGATAGTTCCATCATTTCCTAATTAAGGTAACTGTTTCCACCTTCCACAGTGTTATCCCACATCTAAAACCACTTTCTTGCTTATTATATGCCTCTAATAGTGTTACTACAAGGGTGAAGTCTGTCTACAGGTTTCCCATAGCCTTATGCTTGCCCACACCACAGTCCATATGTAAATCAAAGCATGTTTCATTCATTTGTGTAATTCAGCAGCACTGCTCTCTATCAACCCAGTCCAAGTCCCAATTTAACGACTCTCATAGAATCACGAGGTACTCTCAATATAAAATGTTTAAAGTAATATTAAATGAAAGGAAAAAGTGCAGCACCAATGTAATAAAGGAAAAATAGATGTAATGCAGAGAAATATTTCAAATCCGTAAATGGAGAGGGGATGAAGAAATGTTTTGAGTAAATGGGTGAGACCCCTTCATCAGGTTATGGTAGTAAATACTACTGAAGCTAAGATGCGTGACTTAAGAGGCTTTCATTGTTTTTTTGCCATGAATAAATTGCTGTATCTTCTTGGCATCCAAATGTGTTCCATTTAACTGATGTGTCCAAGATCCCATAGGTATTCAGCTAGCAAGAATATTATACATAGCCCTAACATGTTCATACATAGCACAGTTTTGCTTGGCGTATGGGATAGAGAACATAGGCTCTGGGGATCCTGTACACTGTGGCAAGTCTATAAGCTAAAAGAACTTTACATGAAGTACAGGAAGGTCACTTTAAATCAGGTCTGACATTGTATCTGATGCTATGTTCACTAGATATCAGTTCTGGGTCAGGTATGAAAGACTTCTTACCTCCAGGCTTAGTGCAGGCACCCAGCAAGTTGACCACATTGAGGTGGTGACCAATGTGAATGAGAATCTTCAGCTCTGACATCAAAGCCTTGCATTCATTGGAAGTTGCACTGTCTGCTTTAAATAAACACAGTAATTGCACAATAGGATTTTTTTTTTTTTTTGCCCTTAGGAGAGGCAGGGGCAGTATAGGAAATTCTGTTTACTGTTAAAAGAATCCTGGAAAAAAGTTCCAGAAAATAACCACTAAGCTGTCTATTTATTGTACTTTCCAAATGGTATTGTAAACAATAAATAATACTTTCACATGCATGACCTTCCTGTACTCTGAGCTCTATGTACTGTCATCCTCAATAATGTTTCCACTTCCTTATTCTGAAATGGATACTCTTAGATATCTACTTATTTGTGATAAACTTTTTCTGAGTCACTTCCTAGAAGAATTGCCTAGGTTGTTTTAAGTATTATTCTGTGCAGAATTAAGGGCATGGATAGGATGGATTAGAATGTTTAAACATACAAGTTTTATTTAAGACTGGAACACTGCAGAATTCAGTTCATATACTACGCAATAATATTCTATAGCATCTATTTCTACTGATATAATAGAAGAATATGTAAGAATTCTAATGGCCAGATACCATGGTTAACCGGATACTATTGGTCTTGCCAACAACTAAAACCTCAGGTCTTTATTTCTATATTTAGGGTGCCAGACACAAAAAGAGGATAAATAAGTTTTCATACATGTTTCCATGATAGTCTTAAGCCTCCATGGATGGACAATGTTTCCATGAATTCATGGATTAGACAATATAAGTTGATTGTAGCTACCTCTTCTACCATAGCAAACTCATGTATTTTGCAGTTCAGTTTTCCATCAGTCCCCAAGAAATCCTGAAGATATTCCTCAATGTCCTCCAAAGAACTAGAGACATTACCTTTTAGCATTTTCACTGCCACTGTTTTACAGGTTGAAGCTCTGTCAATGCCAAAGGCACAAGCTTCTACCACTTTGCCAAAGGCACCATGACCCAGGATTTTGCCTGAGGGAATAAGAACTGCAAATTAGAAATAAGGAAAGATCCCAGAAAAAAAGTGAACATATGATTTCTCATTATGGATAACAGAACACTAAATCTAAGACATACTCAAGCAGAGCTTTCATCATCATCCCACATAATATGCCATTTTCCTTCATGATACTTATCTCTAAATAACATAGTATTAGAGCATATATTTATTTATTATCAATCACTCTGACTAGAAAGTAAGCTCATTGAAGGCTATCTTGTTTGCCCTTGTATCCTAGAACCTAGAATCATGTTTAGTTCATGGAAGGCACCCAGTAAGTATGGGAGGAATACCTGAATGAAAGGTTAGCCCATTTTAACTATCAAGAAAAGGAACTATCTGGGTTAGGAAAGATCTATTCTGGTCTATAGATATACATCAGTTCCTTAAGTAAATGTATTACAGTTTTTGAGTAGTTGTAAGTTAAGACTTTTAGTCATATATTCCACTAATAAGCACATTAGTTATTAAAATTCTGAATATGCCCCTGGGGACATTCATTAGCTTATGATGGAAAGAACTCTGGCCCCTATAGCTTAAGCCATCTTTGTCAAAGAAATCCCATAGTAAACTATTCCTTCTATTTGTTTTATATTTTAAATTTGTAAAATCCACTTCCAAATGTTATCTCACAAGATTCTGAAAATAACCATGGAGTGCAAATAGAACATATATCCATATAAATATCTTCTTTTATAGTTAAAAAATGGAGTTCATGGATATTAATTGAATGGCTTTATCTAAAGTTGCCCAAAAAACTCCAATTTTCATGCTATGTGCACAATACTATTTTGTTCTACTAACTTATAGTTGTGTTCACCTTCCTATCACCATCTTAGAAACACATCTCTTATTATCTAGGTCCTACATGAATGGGACCAAACAGCACTTAATACCCCAAGGGCATCCTAATAGCTTTTTCTTGTACCTTTTCTGGGGTGATTTTCAATTCCATAGTGAAAGCAAGAGTGGAAGGGTGGTATGATAGATACTGGTGCTCACCAAGCCGTAATCGATCCCTGGGGAATTCCCATTTACTGTCATCATAGGGCAGCCTGTCACACTGTTGATCAAGGGGCATCTCTTCAGGATCCATGATGATAGATAGGTAGCCAGTTTTGATTTCTGACACATTGGGCTGCAGAAGGGAAAGAGAAAAATATACTATACTTCCTTGATTTTCTAATACACTATAAGACCTCTGGAGTTTCCCATTTTACTTTGAAGTATGGCTCATAAAGCGAGAAAGAAAAGTCAAGAGAATAAATACAATAAAGAACACCACATGAACAAAATTAAAATAAATATAACCAACTCAACAAATAATGGTCAATAGTCATAAAGAGTTACTATGAATCAATAACAGCATCCAGTGCTATGGTGTAATAAGCTAAGCATCCACTTGCAGCACCAGAATACTATATAGGTGCCAGTTCATATCCTAACTGCTCCTCCTCCAATCTAGCTCCTTGCTAGAGCTAGGAAACCAGTGGAAGCAGGCCCAGGTGCTTGGGCCCCTGCATCTGCATTAGAGACCCTGAGGAAAATCCTGGCTCCTGGCTTTGGATAGGCCCAGCTCTGGCTGTTGCAGTCATTTGATGAGTAAATCAGCAGATGGAAGATCTTTCCCCCTGTCTCTCCTCTTTGTAACTCTAACTCTCAAGTAAATAAATACACTTTTAAAAATGTGAACTTAAAAAAATCAATAACAGAAACTGATGTCAATGAAAATGGGAGGGTAGGAAACTCTAAGTTATCTTCCTCCCTAAAAGCAATTAATAAAGTGGCAAAATGGTCAAAATCAACTTTTGAAAAACCCTAGAATCTATTCAGAAATTTACGGTGACCAAGAGAAGACTTGCTGAAAAAGAAAAATCTGATTTTGAGTAAGCCTGCCTCTCATCCTCAACAACCCATATCATTATCAATAACCATGACAGTAGCCACAACACCTTTCTGCAGGTTGCTATTTCCAGAAGGATCAATACAGACCTTATTCATGGAAAATTATGGTTGTAGGTCAGAAACTATTTGGCAGTTTCCTCAGGGAGTAGCACAAATGTTTCATCCAATTTGGAGCGTACCCAAGGACATAATTAATTCACCAGCAGCTTTACCAAAAGAATTTATAGGTAAAGGTATTTGCCAAAAGACACACACACACACACACACACACACTGAGAGAGAGAAAGAGAGAGAGAGAGAGAGAGAGAGAACTTGGGACAAATAAAAGACTTAGAAATATGGAAGAAGGAGATCTAGCAAGAAAATACATAAGAAATAAGGGCTTTTGAAAGTTACTATATATACTGGAATACGAAACAAGTTATGAGAATACAAGTTAGAATATATGCTCAGGAAAGGCCTGGGGAGAAACTAAATTTTCACTTCAGGCTGAACTTCAGAAACCACGTAAGTATGAAGGAAAGGCTAAGGGAGAGTTATATACAATATGGTTAAGTATTAAAGGAGTGCCTCAATAGAGGGCCAATCTACAAAGACTGGAAGAGTACTTTTTCTTTTTCTCCTTTGAGTTAGTTCCAGATATACAAGGTAAATGTTCAAATATCAGGTGACCAGAAGGTTAAAGGAGAACAATCAGTAGTCACAAATGACAAAGACTACAGATTTTACAAAAATAGATTTAAAAAGTAACTAAACTAGAGACTGTCACTTCACACTGTGATTGAGTCAGCACTTGGAATGACTACATTCAGTGTTAGGAGTATGCACACCCGGGAGCAGAAGATGCTGGCCCAACTATTTGTGGCACTACCAATCATGTGGGAGATGCAGATTAAGTATTGGGCTCTTGGCTTCAGCCTAGCCCATTTTTGGTTGTTGTGGGCATTTGGGGAGCAAACCAGTAGACGGAAGACCTCTCTTTTTCTCTTTCTCTGCCTTTCAAATAAAATGAAAATAACTTAGAAAAATTAAAGTCACTAAAAAATAACAAGAATCCATCACAAATATAAACTACAAACCTAAGAGATGAGGGATAGTTGGAATTCCAGAATAACCAAATTATAATATTTAAATTGTCCAGTTTTCATTTTAAAGATGAAGCAAGCAAAAATACAAGATAATATTAATCATTTACAGGAAATAAATTCATAAAATCTATCCTTGAATAACTCAAGGTTGGACTTGTGTTTGGTCTTACCAGACAAAAGATTCAACTGTCTTAATACTTTCAAAGGGCAAAAAGAAACCAGAAAGGTAGGTATTTCAAAGTTAAGAAGTACAAAAATAGAAATAAAAAATTCATTATAGGGATGCAACAACAGGTTGCAACAGCCAAAAGAGAGAATCAGGAAACTAGAAGATAGGAAAATTCAGATAATACAGTTTGAAGAACAGAAAGATTAAAAAAAAGAAAGAAAGAAAACCTAAGAGTTTCATGGGATGTGATCTGGCATAATCATGAGAGTAATATGAGTGTTTTTGCCCTGCATGTAGGTCCACTGTGTTCCTCTGATATGTAGAGTTTCCTCTGCTGTTTTCTTCTTAACTATTCCCTGAGACTGCACTCTCTCCACTTTTTTTAAACTATCTTCTCCTAGACTGGAGCAGCAAGCTTCCTCCCTACTATACATCTTAATCCAATCCTCTACCACTTGGTATTTACTAAAAGTGCAGACATTGTACTAAGTTACAGAGGCACAGTTCAAAGATAAAAGCCATCAAAGGATAAAAATTACAAGTATCTCCACAGATCCCTAAAAATGAACACAGAAATTCAAGAAACAAATAAGGAAAACATTATGATCCCCCAAAGGAACACAACATCAATATTAGAATGCGATGATGGAGGGGCGGAGCCAAGATGGCGGAATAGTGAGGGCGCGCACCGATAGTCCGGGAAAATTTAGTTTAATAAAAGGGGAGTTACGGTAGCCTCAGAAAAAAGAACCAGGAAAATATTGCAGACAAAACTCTTCTGGATCCAGTGGGCGTGAATCGGAGGACCTACTGGGAGAACAAGGTCGCCCACCGCGCGAAAGCCGAACCACAGGACCGAGCCGCAGGACTGAGCCGCGGAAGCCGAGCCGAGGGACGGAGCTGCGCGCAAGTGCTCGAAGGGGAGTGCAACAGCGGGGAGACTTGGGAAGTCCAGGGCTCCGAGTCCACACATCGGCGCTGGAAGGGGAGCAGACCTGCGTGGAGAGCGTGGGAGCCCACAGTTCGGGACGTCAGCGGCAGACTCAACACACCAGCGCTGGAACGCGAGGTGAGCCGAACCTCAATAACCCGAGACACCGGCAGGCAAGCGGAGAGAGGAGACTAGAGGGAACGACCCCCGGGGCGGGGGGGACTTCACCAAGCTAACTGGAAGAGAGAGAGAGGGAAAAAAAAAAAAAAAAGGTGACTGGTATGGACACGGGTTTCTCTCTCTCCGCTCACCTCTCAAGGGCGAGCAAGACAAAGAGCAGGCGCCATCTTGGACATACGTCATAAGCAGAGCGACCTCAGGTCTGCACCGGCCCTGAGCCTAGCAGTAAAACCTGACTCTGGGTGGGGCGAATTAACAGGAGATTAGGACTTAGTAAATTTATGGTGCTACTGAACTGAGACTGTGAAAAAAGAGACGGTGGGGGAGAGAACTCACGGAATTCACGTGAGCACTCTCCAGAGACGCTACAATTCCGTAACTTTGGCAACCCAGTGGGAGACTGAAGGAGAATTTGAGCGCACTCTAAGGGCCGAACAGATTCCCTGTGTGGTCCTTGGGAAAGAGCTTCTGATCTCTGGCTCCTGTGGGTATATCATTTGCCTGCTAACTACCTCCAACTTTGTTCAGCTGTGCAGAATAACGTCCCTGTTGAATCAAAAAAAAGAGAGAGAGAGAGAGAGAGAGAGGTTTACCACGCCTAACCTGGGAGTGTCACCTTTGGCACACCAAACAGAGCTCTCAGGCCACACCCATCTCAAGCCCTAAGGCTCCATCAAAAACAGATAGTCCACTTAATCTAGAGTCATAGTATAACAAGAAAAAGCACCACAGTGAAGAAACCAAATATCTCCAATATGACAAATAACAAACGCAAAAACCAAGGTAATAAAAACAAGGAAGTCACCATGAAGCCCTCAAATGAAAAAGACACCCCAATTCAAGATTATGAGGATGATGACATAGAAGAAATGCAAGAAGCAGATCTCAAAAAATTGATAAGAACATTAAGAAGTTCTCAAAAACAAATTCTTGAACTACAGAAATCCTTAATGGACAAGATAGAAAATCTCTCTTGTGAAAATGAAATATTAAGGAGGAATCAAAATGAAACGAAACAACTAGTACAACAGGAAACTGGGATAGTGACTGAAGTGAAGAATTCAATAGATCAAATGAAAAACACAATAGAGAGCCTTACAAACAGAATGGGTGAAGCAGAAGAGAGAATATCGGACTTAGAAGACAGAGAACAGGAAAGGATACAGTCAGACCAAAGAAAAGAAGAGGAAATTAGGAATCTAAAACATATTGTTGGGAATCTTCAGGATACTATTAAAAAACCCAACATTCGGGTTCTAGGAGTTCCTGAAGGCATGGAGAGGGAGAAAGGATTAGAAGGCCTTTTTAGTGAGATATTAGCAGAAAATTTCCCAGGTTGGGAGAAGGACAGAGAAATCCTAGTACAGGAAGCTCACAGAACCCCTAATAAACACGACCAAAAGAGACCCTCACCACGGCACGTTGTAATTAAACTCTCCACAGTGAAACATAAAGAAAAGATCCTAAAATGTGCAAGAGAGAAACGTCAGATTACTCTCAGAGGATCTCCAATCAGACTCACAGCTGACTTCTCATCAGAAACTCTACAAGCTAGGAGGGAATGGCAAGATATAGCCCAGGTACTAAGAGAGAACAACTGCCAGCCCAGAATATTATATCCTGCAAAGCTATCATTTGTGAATGAAGGTGAAATAAAGACTTTTCATAACAAACAGAAATTGAAAGAATTTGTTGCCACTCGTCCAGCCCTGCAAAAGATGCTTAAAGATGTGTTACACACAGAAACAAAGAAACACGGTCATCAATATGAAAGAAGGTAAAGGAAGGAAACCAAGGAAGGAAAGCTCACAGCAAAAGATCACAGGGAATTCAAAGCATATATTAGAACTTATCTTTGGCAAATG